GGGGGGGGGGGGGTGCATTTGCAAGGCCATGGCCCTGAATGTGACTTGTGAGGCCTGCTTCCTGGTCCCTGTGGGTTCTTCGCATTGTCAGCTACAGCATCCCCTTGCACCCTCAGCTCTGTATCTAAATCACCAGCCTTTCATTCCCTGCTTTTTGTGCCAGCGTTTGGTGTGGAGTTAAGAGCCCTCTCCACCCACTCCTTGGGGTGGACCTACCCCTGGCACACAGGGCTCCTTCCCTCCCAAGATCCGAGCCCTCAGACTTTTTTCCTTCCTTGTTTCATTCCTTAAAACTCACTCTCAAAAGGCCTTTCTTTCAGTTGCAGTTTAAGTAAACTGGGCTGACCTGCTGCCTGCTTGGGGATGTGGGGATTGGCTGCGGGGTTGGGAGCTTGCTCACCTGGCTGCCATCTGTCTCAGCAGGTGTCATGTGGTTCTTGGGAGCTGCTGCCTGAGTGGAAATGCTGTCAGCGGTGGAGAATGGACTGGACGCCCGGGCTGCCATCCCGGTAGGTAGCAAGGGAGTATCAAGGATGGAGAAGGGGTACACAGGACAATCCTTTCATTGGTTTTTCTCACTTGGAAATGTATGGGCACTGTCTAGAAAGAGAGGCCTCGGGCTGAGAAAAAATGATAGCAGAAGCAGGCTCCAAGGAGGTCCTACCCTTTCTAGATCATCTTGTTGGTGATAAAATGAGAGTTTACGGAAAAACAGTTGGGATTTAATATAGGTTACCTGAATACTAAGGATTTCTCCAGATACACAAGTGACCGGTAAGTTCATGAAAGGATGCTCACCATCATTAGACGTTAGATAAATGCAAATTGAAACCATAATGAGATAGTTCTTTATACCCTCTACGAAGGCTACAACCAAAATGGCAGACAATAATAAGTGTTGACGGGATCATGGAGCAATTGGAACCCTTGTACATTGCTGGCGGGAATGCAAAATGGTGCAGCCATTGTGAGAAACAGTTTGATAGTTCCTCAAAAAGTTAAACATAGTGTTCCATATGACCCAGCAATTCCATTCCTAGGTACATACCCGTGATAACTGAAAACATATGACATGTCTACACAGAAACTTGTGTGTGAATGTTCATAGCAGCACTATAGCCAAAAAGTGGGAACAACCCAAATGTCTATTAATTTATGAATGGATAAATAAAATGTGGTATAACCATGCAATGTAATATTATTTGGCATAAAAAGGAATGAAGTTCTGCTACACAAAGAATGCTGTAACATAGAGGAACTTTGAAAACATGCTAAAATGAAAGAAGCCAGACACAAAAGGCTGCATATTGTATGATTCCATTTATCTGAAATGTCCAGAATCCATAGAGACAGAAAGTTGATCAGTGGTTGCCAAGGTTGGGAGGGAAGGGAATAGAGAGTGACTGCCAATGGGTACAGTATTTCTTTTTAGGGCAATGAAAATGTTCTAAAATTAGATAGTGGCCATGGTTGCACAATTCTATGAATATACTAAAAACCACTGAACTGTATATTTTAAATGAGAGAATTTTATGCTCTGTAAATTATGCCTCATGAAAACTGTTATAAAAAAAGAACATTTGCCCTAGCTGGTTTGGCTCAGTGGTTACAGTGTCAGCATGTGGACTGAAGGGTCCTGGATTCAATTCCAGCCAAGGGCGCATCCGTCTGTTGCAGGCTCAATCCCCAGCCCTGGTGGGGAAATATGCAGTAGGCAACCAATTGATGTGTCTCTCCCACGTCAGTGTTTCTCTCTCTCCCTCTCTCTCTCCGTCTCTCTCTCTCTCTCTCTCTTTCTCTCTCTCTCCCTCCCCCACTGTCCCTTCCACGCTCTCTGAAAAGCAATGGATATCCTCGGGTGAGGATTGGGGAAAAAAGGAGCATTTAACTCTTCAAAGAACAATAGCTGTTTTGGCTAAAATAAAAACAAAACAATAAAATACTTATCCAGAATCCTATCACCTAACAATTCCAACCAATTTTTTTGCAATCCCTTCCAGTCCTTTTCCAAATACTTAGGTAATTTTGACATACTTATATTTTGACAGACTCTCTTTACTCTGTATTTCCAGAGGACTTATATATTTTGTAATTTATTCATTTAACATTTATCAAGGACACAAGATTGAATAAAACCCTAGTCCTGCCCTCAAAGAGGATTCCTCCTCACACCCCATGCTATAGATCAGGAAGTATTGTTTCCATTTAACAGGTGAAGAAATTGAAGCTCAGAGATGTTAGATGAAATGTCTAAGGTGATGCAGCTGGCAACTGACAGAGCTGAGACTAAACCTGAGCTGCCAGGTCTAGGATCTTTCTGAAGGTAGACCACGCTCCTGTTTTGCTGGTCTTTTTATTGTGTTAAACCAGCACTTGTTGCCTCTTAGCTTCTTGATTCTGTCTAGAATCTTCATCCCATAATTAAGGTGGAAAGCCTCACCTCTGTCCTGGATGCATTTACCCAAGTCCCATCACTTTATGATGGAGCCAATATTTAAATATAAGATTTATATGGCTATCAGTTTATTGACACTTGGTTTAAAAAACAAAAAAGAGCCCTGGCCCATGTGGCTCAGTTGGTAGGGTGTCATCCTGTGCACTGAAAGGTTGCCAGTTCGATTCCTAGTCAAGGGCCCATGCCTGGGTTGCAGGTTCAATCCCTGGTAGGGGGCGTGCAGAAGGCAGCTGACCTATGTTTCGCTCTCACGTCCATGTTTCTCCTCCCTGTCCATTCCTCTCTCTCTAAAAATCAATAAACTATTCTTTTAAAAAAATACACAAATATCTTTGCAAAAAAATTATAACAGTATCTCTGGATGGTGTGTGTGATGTTCCTTTTCTTCTGTATGCTTTGTCTTTATTTTCTACAATTAGCATGTGCTAGTTTTGCAGAATGCAACACAAGATACATACATACAGGTGGGTGCCCGTGTAGTTGTGCACATATTTTGTGACAGGCAGAGTTACATTCCAGGGGCCGCCCTAGCATCTTCTAAAGGCCTGTGTTAACATCTGGCCCTGCCTAGGTCATCAAGAAGAAGCTAGTGGGATCCATGAAGGCATTGCAGAAGCAGTACGCGTCCTCAGACACCGTGGTCACTAGCGAAGATGGAGATGCCAACACCATGTGCAGCGCCCTGGAGGCCGCGTTTATCCACGGCCTGCATGCCAAGCACATCCGAGCCGAGGCCGGGGGGAAGAGGAAGAAGAGCGCCTACCAGAAGCCTCTGCCTCAACCTGTCTTCTGGCCCCTCCTGAAGGCCGTCACCCACAAGTGAGACCAGCTGGGAGGTTTTGCTTTGGGAAGGAGCTTTGGAATGTGGGACACAGAGCTCTTCATCTCCAGCTGTGCAGCAGCTGGGAAAGCAGCAGGCGCTCTATGTTGTAGAACAGAGACGGCTGAGTTAGGGGTTATTGTTAGACCAAGCCTCACCAGCCCCTCCTTCCTCAGGCACCAGCCTGGAACTGCTTCGCACCCCTGGGCTGGTCACCTTCAGCAGGTGCCGTCTTTTGGCCACACCCTGGCAGAGTTCAGGAGTTGCGTCAGAGGTTGTGTTTGCCTGCATAGCCTAAAACCTTTACTACCTGGCCCTTTACAGAAGTTTGCCGACCCCATCTTCGAATGTTTGAGCATCTGTGTGCTAAGTATTATACTCATAACAAGGTATGGGGAGTTTTTTGTGAAAGAGAATCCAGGTGTAGAGCATCTGAATATTCGCCCAGAGACACTTGTCTTTGTCGCCCTGCCCCTAACTGCCTGCACTTTGGAGCAAGTAGCTGGCACTGTGCCTCTAAAGGCTATTAAATGCCACCTCCAGCCCAAAGGTGCCTTGTCAATCTCTAATCTTCCTTTCCATGCCTACTGCTACTGCCCTATCTCAGGTTCTTACCTCACTCCTGGGTGACAATGGCTTCCTACTTGTCCCCTTATCTCATTCTGTCCTTTCTTGACATTTACTGAGCTTAAGCAAACCAAAGCCAATCACTGAGTCCTACAGAGCATGGTCTGCCCTTTCATACAGGAGATGTGAGCAGGGGACTGTGGTAGTCAGAGGAGGGGCATTTAATCAGATCGAGGCATTCAGGAACTGAGTTTGGTACACCTGGGTCTGATCATATCCAGAGGAACCCACCCTGAAGTCTGCATAGCTGAGGTCAAGTCCCTTTCCTGTGCAAATACCTATAGCCCACAGGGTCCCAAGTACTAGCCTGGAGTGTGATTCACTCGGGGCCTCAGAATCTGTATGCTGACCAAGTTCTGCAGGTGATTCTGAGGCACAGCCAGGTGTGGGGAGCATCTGCCTCACCAGTTGGATACTCAAAACCCTGCATTACCTGGCTCTGCCAAGGAATCACCCACTCCTCCCCACCTTGTAACTATAATTGGAGTGTCCTCCATTCCTGTTACAGGTCTGTTGCTTTCCTACCCTTTATGCCTTTTTCTCTGTTAGTTCCATGTGTCTAGGAGGTTCTTCTTCTATCTTTGCCCTTTGAAATTCCACAAGGCCCAGCTCAGATACTGCCCTCTCTGTGAATTTTTTTTACTCCAACCCAGAAATGATCACCCAGTCCCCGCCCAAGCTCTGCTAACAACAGGTGTGCCCTTGAAAGGCAGTTACCTGGACGGAGGGCATAGACCAAGTCTTTCCCCTGTGTGTTCATAGTTCCAAGGACCTTGTACTTCAGAGCACAGCAAGCATGTACTGGATGCCAGCAAATGGCATCAGGGGCCCAAGGGGTAGTTGTAATGAAATGGCAGTTATTCTTTATGAAACCAACCTCAAAAAGTCAGCGGTTCTTGCTTAATATTTCTCAAGTCCCCATAAAACACTATTGTCCAAGAATTTTTCATGCCTATACACACATACACACACACTTTATATATATGTGTGTGTATGTATATATGTATATATGTGTATGTATATATATATATATGTATATATTTGAAGTCATTATTATTGGTGCTTGCCAGCCAGTGTCTAAAATGACATCTCTGTGATCAAAGGCATTTCTTGATGTAACCCTGTTCCCCCCATTCCCAGGCACACCATCTCGGAGCTGGAGCACCTGGTCTTCGTCAGCACGGATGTGGGCCGCTGCCGCGCCTGGCTGCGGCTGGCCCTCAATGATGGCCTGCTGGAGTGCTACCTGAAGCTGCTGCTCCAGGAGCAGGCCCGCCTGTGCGAGTACTACCAGCCCAGCGCCCTACTGCGGGACACCGAGGAGAGCGAGTTCCTCCTCAGCTTCCTGCAGGGACTCACGTCCTTGTCCTTCGAACTCTCCTACAAGTCCTCTATCTTAAACGAGTGGACGCTCACCCCACTGGCCCTCTCTGGGCTTTGCCCGCTCTCTGAGCTCGACCCTGTCACCATCTCCAGTACAGAACTACAGCGAAAGGAGTCCCTGGATTCCATTTCCCATTCCTCGGGCTCAGAGGACATTGAAGTCCAGCACTCGGGCCATAAGATCCAACGGAACAGGCAACTCACCGCCTCCTCACTCAGCCTGGACACAGCCAGTTCATCCCAGCTGTCCTGCAGCCTAAACTCCGATAGCCTCCTACTCCCAGATAATGGCTCCAAGAGTCCAGATCACTCAGAGGAGCCCATGTCATATGACTCAGACCTGGGGACAGCAAATGCTGATGATTCAGACCCGTCTCTGCAGGAGTGAGTACCCCTCCTTCACTCCTTCCCTCTCTGTCTTCCTCCTCTCCCTCCTTCCCTCCCTTCCTATGGCTTGTGATTGCCTGTCATTGAGCACTGAACTCTATTAGGGCATAAGGAAAGGCAGAGGGAACATCTGTCTCCTTTCCTTGGGAACTGAAGTTGCTGGGAACTGTAACTGGAGGCAAAATGTGGGCAGTGAGGAGAATGGATTTAGACAGGGTTCAGAGCTGGTTCAAGCATCAGCTCTGGGTGACCTTTAACAAGTTATTTAATCTTTCTGAGACTCAGTGTAAAATATTATTGTCTTCTTTATCTAGAGAGAAGCAAACCAATAGTTCAAACTGTGTTTACATCTTCCAAAAAATACAGCGAAGCATGATGCAGAAGGGTGATCTTCTGTGACCTTATAGAAGAGCTCCAAGGGGACACAAACCTGAATGATGCCTGGAGGTGGTGGTAGACAGATGGGGCCAAGCCCAGGTCTGGAAGTCAGGAGTACATGGAGCGACAGCATTGACTAGAGAAGGAAGCCTGGGCAGAGTTTTTTTTATTTGTTCGTTTTAATATGTTTTTGTTGATTTTAGAGAGAGAGGAAGGGAGGGAGGAGAGAGAGAGAGAGACATCCGTGAGAGAGAAACATCAATCAGCTGCCTCCTTCATGCCCCCACTGGGGATCGAGCCCACAACCCGGGCATGTGCCCTGACTGGGAATCAAACCGTCGACCTCTTGGTGCATGGAATGACGCTCAGCCAACTGAGCCACACTGGCCAGAGCAGAGCGTCCTTCATTCAGACCTTTTGACATTAATTTTTGAATATTCTATTTTTATGGTTAAAAAAACCAAAAATCTAACAAGCATATAGTAAAAAGTGTTTCCCACCCCTATAACTGTAATTATTTTCTTGCGTATCTTCCATTGTTGCTAAATACATCTATAACAAATAAGCATATGCAGATTTTAAACTTTTATTTCTGGTTATCCCACCTCTTTCCACAAAAGCTAATATAAATACACTATCCTACATCTTGTTTTGGAGGCGATCTTGTCATATCAGAGTTTCTTTTTTCCCCCTATGGCATATTTTTTTCATTGTATGAACGTACCTCAGTTTATTTAATTGGCCCTATTTTTAATGGACATCAGAGTTCAGTGTTTTTTGTTGTTTTTTAAATATGTTATTGATTTCTTTTTAATCCTCATCTAAGGATATTTTTTCCATTGCTTTTCAGAGAATGGAAGGGGGAGAGAGAGAGAGAGAGAGAAAGAAACATCGATATGAGAGAGACACATCAATTGGTTGCCTCCTACACATACCCTAACCCCCCAACTGGGGCCAGGGACAAGCCTGCAGCCGAGGTACATGCCCTTGGCCAGAATCGAACCCAGGACCCTTCAGTCCACAGGCCAATGCTCTAACCACTGAGCAAAACTGGCCAGGGCTTTATTGATTTCAGAGAGGAAGGGAGAGGGCCAGAGTTCAGTGTTTTGTAAGTAACCTTGTGTGTGTGGTCTTTTAGTTCTATGCAAGTTATCTCTATTCAGTAAATTCCCAAAAGCAAAATTGCTGAGCCAAAGGATAGATTAATTGGTAATTTTCACAGACATTGCCTATTTATACTACATCAGGAATGTACCTGTGTCCCCTCAGCCTTGTCAACAGAAAGTATTATCAAACGTTTGGATGTTCACTCACCTAATAGGTAAAAAATGGTAACCTTTTATTAAACATTTCCTTCCTTTGGACCCATGTCCATCAGCCTGTTTCGGACATTCTTTTTCACTCCTGCTGTTCCCGCCACCTCCCACCTTCGGCTCAGGTCTTTACGGCTCCCGCCTGATGTGGGAATCGCACCAGCTTGGAGTGGTATTGTGGGCTTGCTTGGAGCAGATCTCGTTTCAAGCCCTGTTCTACCACTTACAAATCCAGTAATGTCAGGCAAGTTGCTGGTTCTTTTTGAGGTTGTTTTTTCATCTTTAAAATGGAGATCCCCTCACCCTAGTTTGTTTGGCTCTGTGGTTAGAGTGTTGGCCCGTGGACCAAGGGGTAAGGGGCTCAATTCCTGGTTGAGGCCATGTGCCTGGGTTGCAGGAGCCCTGCCTTAGTCAGGGAGCTTGTGGGAGGCAACCTATGAATGTGTCTTTCTCACATTGATGTTTCTCTCTTCTCCTTCCCTTCCACTCTCTCTAAAAATCAATGGGAAAAATATCCTCCAGTGAGGATTAACAAAAAATAATAAAATAAATAATAAAATAATTTTTAAAATGAAAATAAAATGGAGATTCCCCATCATAGGGCTGTTTGAGGATCAGATCAGATGTCTGTTAGTGAGTTGCGCACACTGAGCACATTAGATAGAATTTTCAAATGTCAAATGGAAGAATTTAGCTGGAACATGTTGGAAGGGAGTAGGCCCCACCCCAGCATGGCTGGGCCTGTGGCATGACGTAGGCGCATTCACGTGTCTCAGTCCGTTGTTGCCGCTCCCTCCTCCCACAAACCAGCCAGCCTCCTCTTTGTCATGTGTCTTGCCTTTATCTTTCATGAGTCTTATGACTGGAAAATTCCAGCTTATGGTCATTTGTGGTTATTATGGGGAATTCAAGGGAAGAGAGTCAGGATGTACAGACCAACACTGGACAGTGGTGTGAGGAACCAGCACACACTAAACATACGGATGTGCAAACACACATGCAGCCTTCTTAGACCTGGGCTGGAAGTTAGTTTTTGAGCATCCACAGAGACCAGCATTTCTTGGAGTGTATGTTTTAAGGGTAAAGATTCTCACCAACAATTAAGAGTTCACTTAAGCTGCTTATATTACTTAAATGTAACTTAAAATTAGGCATAAATACCTTGTGCTTATAACTCTTACAACTATAAAATCAAGACATCCACAAATTAAATATAAAGAAAAGTACAAAACACATTCAAAATGAAATGTATTTACATAGTATTTCACTGAAAGCAAATTGCAGTTTGCCTTGTGAATAGAGCGTTGACAGCCCCAAGTAGCTGCTTTTGTGTCTGTTGGGTCTGAATTATAATTATCACTGAGAAGCGTAGGTACATTCTAGTGGTTAAAAATGTAGACAGGGGCCAGATAGCCCGAGTCTTCCTTACGCAGCTGGTTGACCTACCGTGGGCAAGTTACCTGATCTTTCTGTCCTCACGGCCATAGGAATGTTTCAGAGGGATGCCAGGAAGATGAAATGAGTTGAGCCAGTGCTTCGAACAGTGCCTCACGCATGGCGAGTGCCCAGTAGGTGGTGGTATTGTCATTTACTGCTGCGTACTCCTGAGAACTGATGACATAAATTCTCCTACTTGTCTTTGTAAACACTGCTGTGAAAAGCTGGTTAGTAATATTTGTCAGATGTCGTCAGGAGGCCTCCCCTTGGGGGAAATGATTCTTAGCACATGCAGCTCACCTTTGTGCATTTGCCAGTGGCTCTTGACTGCCATGTACCACCCATAGATGGTCCGCACCTCCAGAAACCACAGGCTCAGAACCACTTGGAAGGGGTCCTCTACAAGGTGGCCATCCAAAGTCTTCAGGACATGCTTTCTATTTATTTCACAAACACAGGCAGAGATACATGTGCATATAATACATATACTTTTTAAGATTATTTTCTAAGTAAAAGCTCAAAGAAATTTTTTGAACAGGATGTTTTTGGAAACCATTGTTCTGAGCCACACAGAAGTGGAAAGACTTAGCAGTGTCACCACTTCTCCCTCTCCTTCAGAGAGAGAGAAAGAGAGAGAAACATTGATTTGTTGTCTCGCTTATTTATGTACTATATTCACTGGTTGATTCTTGTATGTGCCCTGACCAGGGATCGAACCCGCAACCTTGGCGTATCGGGACGATGCTCTAACCAGTTAGCTACCTGACAGGGCTGTTTCATTTCTATGTTGCATTTTCTTCAAATTTTTTCGAAGTTTTTTTTCTTTTGCCTTTTCTTCAAAATCTCATTCAAGCACTTTTTCCAGTTGAGGTGCTTGTCTCTCTCATCCTCATTGGGTCCTGAACACCGGAACTGATTCTGGTGAAGCTCTGTGAACTTGCTTTCACCCTGACTTTGGTTTTGATTTGATGGAAGCTCTAGTTTATCTCACAGGCATTTTGATAGCATTTCTTTTTCTTTCTTTTTGTTTTTTAAAATATATTTTTATTGATTTCAGAGAGAGGAAGGGAGAGGGAGAGAGACAGAAACATCAACTCAGGGCTGTGCCCTGACCAGGAATCAAACCACGATGCCCTGGATCATAGGTCGATGCTCAACCGCTGAGCCACGCCTGGCCGGGCAGTGGCATTTCTTTATGCTTTAAGTCACTCACTTATTCTAACATCCAGCCTACTCTGTCATTAAATCTTTTTTATAGATTAGGATTCATTTGTAACTGATAAACATTTTGGTAATGCTAGTGAGTATTTCCATAATTCTGCTCCTTTCCTTACAGTTTTATATTTGTTTACATGGAGGCTAAGCAGTCTTATCAATAATAATAAAAACAGCTACAGTAGCAAATTGAGGTTAACATTTATTGAGTATTTAACTTATGCAAGAGACACTACTAAGCATTTTATGTATATTATCTCATTTAATCATTGTTGCTGTCATAAAAGTGGGTGCTGTTACCATACCTGTTTTACAGATAAGGGAATTAAATCTATGAACTTTTAGGTACCTGTTGTGGGGCACTTAGCAATGTGCTAACCAAGGCCAGGAGGACTCTGAATCCCTGCTTTTAATCAATCACTGCACTACCTCCTGGGAGCCCATTAGGAGCTGGGACCCCACAGGGGACATTTGTCAAAAATCTGTCTCCCTAGTTCATTTCAGAATGTGGCCCATTCTGTCAGTGGTTTGGACACATACAACTTGTCAGCAAATGGCCCTTCCTTCTTTGCCTGTGGAAACTAGCCCTTTGCTTCCAGAAGTCATCAGTCCCTGTTCCCTGCAAGTTGCACTCCTGAACTCTTATCGCTCTGTTTTTAGTGAGGCCATAGAGCAGGAACCAGCACCCACCTACCTCCCCCATAACTATTCCACAAACACATTTACGCCTTTCTCTGATAGGTCACCTTTTTGTTTAGTAAGATATGACTCACATACCATAAAATTCATCATTCTGAAGTGTACAACTCAGTAGTGTTTAGTATATTTGTAAGGTTGTACAACATCGTTACTGTCTAGTTCAAGAATACTTTCATCACCCTGTAAGGAAACCCCTTACCCATTAGCTATGAGTTTACCTATTTTGGACATCTCATATCAGTGGAATCCTATAATACATGGGCTTTTGTGACCAGCTTCTTTCAGATAGTGTGTTTTTAAGATTCATCTATGTTATAGCATGTATTGTAGCTGAATAATGTTCCATTTATGGGTATACCACAATTTATCATTTAATGGACAGTTGGGTTATTTCCCACTTTTTGGCTAGTATGAATAATGTTGCTAAGACCATTCATGTATAAGTTTTTGTGTGAACGTATGTTAATTCTTTTGGGTATATACCCATGAGTAGAATTCCTGGGCCATATGATAACTCTGTGTTTAACTTTTTGAGAAATTACCAAACTCTTTTCCGCAGAGGCTGCACCATTTTACATCTCTACCAGCAGCATATGAGGGGTCCAGTTTCTCCACATCTTTGCCAACACTTGTTATTCTCTGTGTTGTTGTTTTTATTATAGTCATCATAGTGGAGGCAAAGTAGATCTTGTTGTGGTTTTTATTTGTACTTTATTACTCTCTAATGATACTGAGTATCTTTTTATGTACTTATTGGCCCTTTGTATATCTTCTTTGGAGTAATGTCTGTTCATATCCTCTGTCTATTTTTAAATTGGATTAGTTGTCTTTTTATTACTGAGTTGTAAGAGTGCTATATAGCCCTGGCTAGGGGGCTCAGTTGGTTGGAGCATCGTCCCATACCCCAAAAGGTTGCAGGTTTGATTCACAGTCAGGGCACATACCTAGGTTGTAGGTTCGATCCTCGGTTGGGGCACATACATGAGGCAACTGATCGATGTTTCTCATATCCATGTTTCTCTCGCTCCTCCCAATCCTCTCTCTCTAAAAAAATCAATAAGCATATCCTCAGCTGAGAATTCAAAAAAAAGAGTGCTATATATTCTGGATACTAGACCCTTATCAGATGTATGATAATATATGCAAATATTTTTTCTATTCTATGGGTTGTCTTTTTAAAATATATATATTTTTATTGATTTCAGAGAGAGGAAGGAAGAGGGAGAAAGAAATAGAAACATCAATGATGCGAGAGAGTCATTGATCAGCTGCCTTCTGCATGCCCCCTGCTGGGGATCGAGCCCGCAACCAGGGCATGTGCCCTGACCCGGAATCTAAACCTTGGTCTCCTGGATCATGGATAGATGCTCAACTGCTGAGCCACACCAGCTGCTGGGCTCTATGGGTTGTCTTTTCACTTTCTTGGTAGTATCCTTTGGAAGCACAAAAGTTTTTTATTTTGATGAAGTCCAGTTTATCTATTTTTTATTGGCTGCTTATGCATTAGATGTCATCTCTAAGAAGCCAATTCCTGACCCAAAGATATGAAGAGTTACACCTATTTCCTTCTAAGAGTTTTATAGTTTTTGCTCTTACCTTTAGGTCTTTGAGTTAATTTTTTAACATGGTGAGATAGGGGTTCAACTTCATTCTTCTGCATGGGACTATTCAATTATCCCAGCATCATTTGTTGAAAAGACTATTCTTTCCCCAATGAAATGTCTTGGCATCTGTGTTGAAAATCAGTTTCCCATAAATGTATGGGTTGGTCACCTATTCTTGACTAGAATGTCTTGAAATGTTGTTTGGGGTTAAGATGGTGTAGAAGCACCACTTAGGGGCAAGAAGAGCTAGCTAGTCCCATTGGGAGGAGTGAGCGGGTGCACACCTCATATATACTTGTATATCAATCACTTGCACACCTTGTGTACACTGATCCCCAGCAGCAATTTCTGGGAACAGGAGACTTCTCTGACCCCACAGCCAGTCCAGCTCTGAGGTGGACCAGCCGTTTGCACCTCACCCCAATCCTGCTGCCCAGATACTGTTCCAGGAAAAAAGTGGGTCCTCACTTCAGCTAAATCCATGTCCTGGGGGTGGACTCTTGGTGCCTCAGTGCTGTTGGGGAGCCCAGCTCTGAGATGCTCTGTTCATGAGGCTGTGCTGCAGTCAGCTTGGGGAAATGATTGCCCACACAACCGTTTGGCCCAGCAAACTCTCCAGGCCCACAGTTAGCCTGTGCAGAGGTAAAGGCAATCAGTTCTTGTTCACATCAAGTCCTTTTTCTCTGCTTTGTGAGCTTTTCACCTGAGATCCTGGGCTCCACAACTCACCTACCCACCTCATCTGGGGAGAAAGTTTGGTGGGAGATGTCAGTTTAGAGAGAGTGGAAGGGAGGGAGGAGAGGGAGAGAGAGAGGAAAAAAAAAAAACTGATATGAGAGAGACACATGGATTGGTTGCCTCCCACATGCACCCCAACTGGGGCTGGGGATCTAACCTGCAATTGAGGTACATGCCTTTGACTGGGATTCAGACCTGCAACCCTTTGGTCCAAGGGCTGACACTCATTCTACTGAGCTAAACAAGCCAGGGCTGTTTCTTTTTTTTCTTAATTGATTTTTAGAGAGAGAGAGGGAGGGAGAAAGAGAGAGAGAGAGAGAGAGAGAAACATTGATATGAGAATGAAACATTAATCAGCTGCCTCCTGCACACCCTATACCAGGGATCAAGCCCACAACCCTGGGCATGTGCGGGGACCAGGAATCCAACCAGCAGCATTTAGGTACAGAGGACTTGGCTGTTATTTGTTTCTTAAATCACAAAACAGCAGTTTCCATTCTTATCACTGCCCAGTAGCCTTGGGCATTCTGGCTGACAACCTGTCACACAGGTTTCTTTGTTTAAAAACTTCTAGGGTGCTGTCGGAGTTCAGCAAAGCCCAGGTAAACTCTGTGCCAACCAACGGACTGAGCAGAGAAACGGAGGTTCCCACACTGCAGGCCCCACGCTCCCTCCACGGCCTCTGCCTCGACACCAGCACACACCTGCACTTTGATGTGCCTGCAGAGCCCCTCCCTGCCCAAGCAGCCTCTGGGACTGGAGATGGGGGCCACAAACAGGAACCACTTTCCCAGGCACCTGGCATCCTGGGCTTGCCGCGTCTGGGCACTGTCCAAGCCATCACTGTGGGGAGCACTTCAGACCAGCAGCCTTCTAGTCCTGGGAGAACAGTCGGCCAAGGGAGTGGCCAGCAGAAGCCTTCAATGGATGACAGAGTTGGACTGAGCCTCGTGGTTTCCTCACCCACCAGTCCGGTGAGTGGTACAGGCTGTTTTGGGGTGGTCTTGGTAAAGTGTCTCAGAGCTGGTCAGGGTTTCTCCAGCTGGTGACCCGAATGGTCTCTGCCTTCTCCCCATTTACCCTGTTAGTGTTAATAGCATCGTGATGATGGAGCTAACGTTTCTTGGTGTGTGAGTAGTGGATATAAGCCAGGCACTGTGCCGATCAGTTCTCATGGGTACCTCCTGTCATCTTCACATTGACCCTGTGAGAAGATAATTCTCATTGGACCACAGGCTCTCTGCTCTTAAGCACTGCCACTGAACAGCTTAAGGCCTTGGGCCCAGTACTTCACCTCGCCGAACCTTGGTTTCCTCCTCAGTACTCATTATTAATAAATTAATATTTTTATATACCTTTTAAAATACTTGTTTTGCTCCTGGCCGGTGTGGTTCAGTGGTTGAGTGTCAACCCATGAACCAGGAGGTAAGGGTTTGATTCCCAGTCAGGGCACAAGCCCTGGTTGTAGGCTTTACCTCCTGTAGGGGGCGTGCAGGAGGCAGCCAATTGATGTTTCTCATATTGATGTTTTCTATCCCTCTCCCTTCCTCTCTCTGAAATCAATAAAAAAAAAGAGAAAATACTCATTTTGCAACATGACCCAGATTTAGAACTGGGCTGTTCAATTTGGCAGCCACTAGCCACATGTGGCTATTGAACACTTAAAATGTGGCTAGCCCAAATGGAGATAAGTGGTGTAAATCAAACATCGGATTTGGAAGACTTAGTATGGAAAAAAGGACATAAAATTTCTCAATAATTTATTGATTATATATTAAAATGAAAATATTTTGATATGTTGGGTTAAATAAAATATATTAAAATTAATTTCACCTGCTTTTTACATTTAAAAAATATATATTTTTATTGATTTTTAGAGAGAGAGGAAGGGAAATATCAGTGTGAGAGAGAAACATTGATCTGCCTCCAGCACGACCCCTACCGGGGATCAAGCCCAAAACCAGGCATGTGCCTTGACCAGGAATTGAACCAGTAACCTCTTGGTGCATGGGAGGATGCTCAACCAACTGAGCCACACTGGCTAGGGCATCTTTTTACATTTTTTAAAATGTGACTACTAAAACATTTAAAATGACATATGTAACTCACATTGTATTTCTGTTGGACAGCACTGTTCTAGAATAAGCCAATTCAGTTTGTTGATAACCTCAGGGAAGTTGATCCTGGGAATGTCCTGGAGACAGCCATGGGTAGAGAGTGACTTGAGAACTATTGGCCCAGTGAAGCAGTAGTCAAGGCCATGAACCCAAGCTCTTAGGCTATTTCTGTTTGTTCTTGTGTCATGACAGGCAGAGGTAGGAATTTGCATACACGTGTGCTCATGGACACACGAAGCCTGGAGTTTGTTCTAGCTGCAGTCTTGGACTCATGTTGGTACATGGTCTTACTTTTCAGCTCCATCCATGCACATCTCTCCTTTGGCCTATAGCTTCCAGATCCTATAACTCAGGATGCGACCAGGGCCATGAAGCAGACTAAAAGAGGCACATACATGCACCCTTTTAAAAACAGCTTTATTGCAATATAATTCACATACCATACAGTTCACATAATTAAAGTATAGAATTCAGTTTTTTAGTATAGTCACAGGGATTTGCAACCATCACCATAATCTAATTTTAAGACCTTTTTGTCTCTCATAAAAGAAATCCCCTATCCATTAACAGGCACTCTTCAACCCTTTCTCCCTCCCACCTTACTCTCTTCAACCCCTGGCAAACACTAATCTGCTTTGTCTTTAGATATGCTATTCTAAACATATCACTTAATAAAATCATGTAATATGTAACCTTTTGCAATTGGTTTCTTTCAATTAACATAATTTTTTTTTTTTTTAATATATCTTTATTGATTTCAGAGAGAGGAAAGGAGAGGGAGAGAGAGATAGAAACATCAATGATGAGAGAGTCATTGATCGAGCCCGCAACCCGGGCATGTGCCCTGACCGGGAATCGAACCCCGATCGCCTGGATCCTAGGTCGATGCTCAACCACTGAGCCACGCCCGGCCAGGCAATTAACATAATATTTTTAAGGTTCATCCATGCTGTAGCATGTGTCCCTACTAGATTTCTTTTCATTGCTGAGTAATATTCCATTGTAGATTCCATTGTATGTATATGTCACATTTTATTTATCCCTTTATTAACTGATGGACACTTGGGTTTCCCCCCCACACTTTTTGGCTACTATGAATAATGCTGCAATAAACATCCATGTACAAGTTGTTGGGTGGACATATATGTTTTAAATTCTCTTGGATATATACCTAGGAATGGAATTTTTGGATCATATGAAAACTCTTATGTTTAACCTTTTGAGGAACTGCCAAACTGTTTTCCAAAGGAGCTGCCCCATTTTATATTCTCACCAGCAGTGTATTCCTCTACATCCTCACCAACAGTTCTTATTGTTGTTGTTGTTGTTATTGCCATCCTAGTGGGTAAGAAGTGATATCTCATTATGGTTTTGATTTCCATTTCCCTGATAGCTAATGATGTTGAGCATCTTTTTATGTGCTTATTGTCATTTCTGTATCTTCTTTGGAGAAATGTCAATCAGAATCTTTGCCCAGGGTTATCTGTCTTTTTATTATTGAGTTATAATGGTGGGGTTTTTTACTTTTTTATTTAATTTATTGGGGTGACATTGGTTAATAAAGAGTTATAACAGTTTTTTATATATTCTGGATCCTAGACCCTTATTAGATATGTAATTTGCAAATATTTTTCCCATTCTGTGAGCTGTTTTTTCACTTTCTTGATGATATAATTTGCAGCATAAAAGTTTTAAATTTTGATGTGGTCTAATTTGTCTATCTTTTTTCTTTGTCATTTGTGCTTTGGTCTTATATCTAAGTACCCATTTCCTAATCAGTGTCATGAAGATTTACTCCTATGTGTTCTAAAATTTTTATAGTTTTAGCTCTTACATTTAGACCTATGATCCATTTTGAGTTAATTTTTATATATGGTAAAAGAATGAGGCCCAACTTCATTCTTTTGCATATAGATATCCAGTTGTACCGGCACTATTTGTTGAAAAGACTATTATTTCCCCATTTTAAAAAGTTTTGAGGAATGATGTAAAGTTCCTAGATCCTCAGTGTATACCTCAATGAGTAATTACATGTGATATGCACTCTGTGACCACCATCCAGATAAAGATACAGAACATTTCCAGCCCACCAAAGGAAACTACCATAGATTCATTTTTCCTGTCATTGGAAACTTAATATAAATGGAATCATACAATATATATTCTTCTGTTTCTTTCACTAAACATTATGTCTGTGAGATTTATCTATGCATACAGCATGGGGCTATAGTTTGGTGTTTTCCATTGAAAACACCAAACTATATTTTATTGTAAGAATATATCATAATGTATTTCTCCATGCTCCTGCTAACAGACATTTGGGTTGTTTCCAGGTTTGGGGCTATTATAAAGAAAGCTACTGTGAACACTCCTGTCCTTGCCTTTTGGTGAATGTGTGTACTCATTTCTGTGGGTATATATTTAGGAGTGGAACAGCTAGGTCATTGGGTAGGCCCATGTTTAGCTTTGGTAGATACCGCCAAACAGTGTTCTAACAGCGCTTGTACTAAGCTATCCTCATGCTAGTAATATATGAGCATAGCCCTTTTTCTTTATCCTAGCCAACAGTGTGGGACAGGACAGCTCCACTCACCAGCAGAGCTCTTCCTCTGCTCACCACCTTTTGACCCCCTGGCCTCCTTGCGGCTCCTGACAAAGCAAGTTTCTTCCAGTCCCAGGTGCTTCCACCTTCTGTTCCGTCTGCCTGGACCCTTTTCTAACTTGCTCCTTTCCCTCACTGTTGTCTCAGCCTTCGCTGACCACCCTGCCTCCAAAGCACCAGCGACTCTCATTCCTGTTTACCTGCTTCACTTTGTAACACTCATCACTTGGTGAAATTGTATTATCTCTTTATTTGTCTACTTGTATATTTTCTGTCTTCCTGACTAGAATATCGGCTCCACAATATGAAAGAGCATGTCTGTACTGTCAGCTCCAAGCACTGTACCTGGGAGAGAGTAGGTATTGATGAATAGTTCTCGAACTCTCTAGAGACTTTTAAAATGCCAGTTTGTAAGTTTACATGGCAAAGTGCACCATCAAGTGTGAAGGCAGGCAGGTTGGTGTGACCAGGGCAGGCTTCGTGTGGGCCTCAGGGGAGTCTGGTTGCTAGAGGGTCGCTTGGGTAACGTGGAATCAAAGCACCTGCTGTTGAGTCCAGTGTGAGCCCTTCGGATGCTCGCCCCTTCCAGAGTGCATCTTCCCGGCAGTGTTGCAGATCCATTCATTCCTTCACTTGGTAGTCACTGGGCACCACTGTGTGGCCCACCTGCTCACCTTGGTCTGGTGGGCTCCCTGTCTTTGCACAGGGTGGGGCTATGCCCTGTATGCCGACTCTTTCGTTCCCATCTTTCTGTGTTTCTTTTTTTTTTTTTTAATATATCTTTATTGATTTCCGAGAGAGGAAACGAGAGGGAGAGAGAGACAGAAACATCAATGATGAGAGAGTCGTTGATCGAGCCCGCAACCCTGGCATGTGCCCTGACCGGGAATCGAACCCTGATCGCTTGGATCCTAGGTCAACGCTCAACCACTGAGCCACGCCCGGCCGGGCTTTCTGTGTTTCTATAACTTAGTTGCTGCTATTTATTTTACACTTTGGGAGGGAGGGTTTACTGTCAAGTTTTCTAACTCCAAGTGCCATTCAATCTTCCTTTAAAGTTTTTTTAAAAATTCATTCAAGTTAAAGCACCATGCTTGGTACAGTGATGGAACAGGACAGACAAGAGCCCTGCTCTTTGGGGACAGACACTAGGTTAGACATCATAATTACACTGTGATAGGTGCTGGGAAGGAAAGATGCAGGGCATTGGGGGGAGCTCACTAGGGTGACTGTATTTGTGGGATCTAGGGGTGCAGGTGAGTTGGTTTCTCAACTTAATTAGCAGAGGACAGTCCGAATTCTAAGAGTTGGCCTTAATCACTGCCCTCATGGACCACCCTCCTGTGGCTTGTTTTTCCCTCCTCCAGGTAGGGGTACAGGCAGTCCTCTGCCTGACATAAATGAGGACACACTGGACAAAATGTGCTTTTTTGAAAGTGGTCCAGAGACCTGGTATCTCACTCTTCTCTGGGTTTAGCTGTTGTATAAAGCGTCCTAATGCCTTCAGTAACTACAGGTGGCATTCCTCTGTCTTGGGTCCCTGGTGGCAGGTGATACTCTGGCTGAAAAATTCTTGGTCAATGGTGATTTTCCTCCCACTATTAAAGGGGCAGGGAACTGGCCAGATATGGGCCCCTGAGTGAGCAGGAGGTAGGAAGGTGGCATGAAAGTGAAGTGAGAAGGGAGACAGTGGTGCGCTCTCTCCACCTCCCTCCCTGCTTTATAACTGGGGCCCTTGGCGTGGGGCACGACCACAGGGCTCAGTCCAGGCCTGTGTGCAGAAGCTTCAAGGACTCAGTGTTCCCACTGTTTTTCTCCTTTGCTTAAGAGAACAAAAGGTTTTCCCTAGACTATGATTTCCTGGTGGCTAACCTGTGGTCCCTGGAGCGTGTCTGACCATTTCCTAGTTGTCTCCCTCTCCTCTGTGGACAGAGGAGCCTTCACCAGGGAACATACACCATCTCAGAATCCACATTTGTCTCCTTTCTTTTACTTCCCTCACCCCACCCTTGTTATTGTACGTTAAAGATGTTTGGAAAGTCAGGATTTATTCTTCCATCTGTTATAACTCTCTGTAGGCACAAGGGAAAATGACTGTTCCAAACAGCTTTGTAGGTGCTAGGATGGGGCTAAGTACAGAATGCTGTGGGCGCCCCTGGGTGGGATGGGGGGTTCCTAACCCAGCTGGAGGGTAAGAGGCGGGTGGGCCAGGGCTGAATAAGGAAAGCTTCCAGGAGGAGGTAGTAGATGACCTCTGAGCTGAGTCTTAAGGGATAGTTTTCTCTCCCATTAGGGCCATTAGCAGGGGCTGGGAGGTCACAGAGTTTCCCAGGTATATGTGCCAGGCTGTGAGGCTGTCTAGACAGCCAGGAGGTTGCTCCTGCCCATTTTCTTCAGAGAGCTTCCCTGAGTCATGATGACCCAGGCAGGTTTTGTTTAGTCCTTTATTGTAAATGGTCCCCTGTAGCCACCTTCATTGACACATTGTCCTGTCGCTGGCAGAAGGAAGCACCTGCCAAGTCTGAGGGTTTTCAGAGGAAGCTCTGGAGGCCCAGCTCTGTGAGCGCTCTACCCCACCACCACCCCACAGCTCCTGACTCAGAACTCTCACTCTTGGCTGAAGGAGTCTTATAGTATCCAAATGAATTAATGTCTAAACCAGTCCTCCTGGGGAAGCCCCAGTCCCACTCCCCTTGCCTGTCTAGGGAAGCAGGGAGGGAAGTCTTGATTTAGGGGTTGGAAATAGCAATGTCAGGTTGAGGTTGGTGGCATTTAACAAAATAGCTGGGCTGGTCCCCTTGTGTGACTCATTTCCTCTGTGTAGATAGCCATGTCTGGTGGCCCAGCCAGCTTCCTTGCCTCTGCTCTTACACACTTAGGCACAGAAAGGCAGGTAGCGCTTGAAATAGTGGGGGGAAAAAGAAGCTAGAATTCATTCCCACAAGCTCCTGACCCCAGACCAACTCCACTTCCCAAAGCCAGTGCAGCTTCAGACTTGGAGAGATAGCAACAGAAGGGAAAGGGTAGGGCCTGGCTGCCTGGGGCTTTGGGGGCCTACTCTGAAGTGGGGAGCAGAAGCAGGGGTGGCCAGTGAGAACTCTGGGTCCTTCTCACCCATGCCTCCCCTATCTCAGATCCTACAAGCAGGGCTGAAAAACTCTACATCCCTTAGACTAATGGTGCTGGGACAACTGGATATCCAGAGAGAAAAAAATAAAGGTGGACCCCTTCCGAACACCATACACATAAATTAACTCAAAATAGATCATAGACCTAATTCTAAGAGTTAAAACTATAAAGCTCTTAGCAGAAAACATGGGAATAAATCTTTGTGACCTTGGGTTAGGCATTGGTTTCTTAGATACAACAGCAAAAGCACAGAGACCAAAAAAAAAAGAAAAGATGAATTGGACTTCATCAAAATTTAAAAATTTGTGCCTCAAGGGGACCATCAAGAAAGTGAAAAGACAGTCCAGCTGTGGCTCAGCGGTTTAGTGTCGACCCAGGAACCAAGAGGTCACTGGTTCAATTTCCTGTCAGGGGACATGCCCAGGTTTTGGGCTTGATCTTCACTGGGTGGGAGGGGGCGTGCAGAAGGAAGCCAACTGGTGATGTTTCTCTCTCATCAGTGTTTCTATCTCTCTGTCTGTCTCCCTTCCTCTCTCTCTAAAAATCAATAAAAACATATTTTAAAAAAAGAAAGTGAAAAGACAACCTACAGAATTAGAGAAGTTATTTACAAATTGCATTTGTTTCCTAGGGCTTCTGTAGCAAAGTACTGTAAACTGGATGGCATAAAACAACAGAAATGTCTTCTCTGCTAGAAGTCCAAAATCCACATGTTGGCAGGGTAAATTCCTTCTGCGGTTCAAGGAAGAATCTGTTCCATGCTTTTCTCTTAGCTTCTGGTTCTACCAGCAACCCTTGGCATTCCTTGGTTGTAGATGCATCACTCCAGTCCCTCCCTCCATCACATTCTGCTGTGTCTCTATCTTTACTTGGCATTCTTCTCTCTGTGTGTGTCTTTCTCCTCTTATAAGGACACTAGTCACATTGGATGAAGGGCCTACGGTACCCCAGTGTGACTTCATCTTAACTAATTGCATTTGAAAGAACCCAATTTCCAAATAAGGTCATATTCTGAGGTATTGGTGGTTAGGATTTCAACATATCTTTTGGGGGAGGGGACACAATTTAACCCATAATCCAACACAAGAACAAAAAGATAAATAAACCAATTTAAAAATGTACAAAGGATTTGAATAAACACTTCTCTAAAGAAGATATACAAGTGACCAATAAGCACCTGAAAAGATGCTCAGTGTCAGTAGACATTAGAGAAATGCAAATCAAAACCACAAAACTGCACTTCACACTCATCAGGATGGCTATAGTCCCCCCCCCCATAAAAAAACCACACAGATAATAACAAATGTTAGAGAGAACATGGAGAACTTAGAGCCCTCATACATGGCTGGTGGGGCTGTAAAATGGTACAGCCACTTAGGAAAACAGTTTGGAAGTTCCTCAAAAAGTTAGACCTAGTTACCATATGACCCATTAATTTCACTCCTAGGTATATACCCAAGAGAATAGAGAACATGTCCACACAAAATGTGTGCATGAATGTTCATAGTAGCATTATTTGTAACTGCCAAAAAGTAGAAAAACCCCAGATGTCCATCAACTGATGAGTGGATAAACAAAATGTGGTACATTCATACATTGGAATATTATATGGTAATAAAAAGGAATGAACTATTTACTAATACATGCTACAACATGGATGAATCCTGAAAACATTATGCTAAGGGAAAGAAGCCAGTTAAAAAAACCACATATTATAAAATTCTATTTATACGAAATGTCCAAAATGGGCAAATCTATGGAAACAGAAAGTAGATTAGTGGTTGCTTAGAACTGGAGTGGTTGAGGGGAAATAGGGAGTGATTGCTAATGGGAATGGGGTAATGAAAATGTTCTAAGCTTACTGCTCATGGTTGCTCAACTCTCTGAATATTATACTGAAACTATTGAATTGTACAGCTTAAATGTATTTCATGATATGTGAATCATGTCTCAGTGAAGATGTTTTTTAAAAACTTAAAGAACAGCCTGTGTCTTCACTTCTTTCCATAGAAAAGCAAAAGCTGGATCTCGGAAGATGACTTCTACCGGCCTCCCCAGGATCCACCCCCAGAGAGTCCTTCAGATCACTCCATAGCGCCTCCCAGAGGGTCTCCAGAGCCCAGGCCTGGTCCCCTCAGGCATTTTTCTCAAGGACCTAGAAAGAGCTCCTCCATGGGGGCCTTAGACAAAGCTTGTGTGCCTTCTCCAGGAAGCAGGAAAAGCCAGGCGGTGGCGGCGCAGGAGCATAAGAACTTCAGGGTGGTGCACCGCCGGCAGATAGGTAGGTGGCTGCAGAGTTCCGGTGGCCTCACCGCGCCCCCTTTCAGAGAGCCCTGCTGAAGTCCTCTTTTCCCATGACCAATTGGGTGTTCTCACAAGAAAACCCTAATCCCAAAATGTAATAAGGAGCACCCTTGCTGAGTAATTCAAGAAGGCATTACAGGAAAGGTACTATCTTTTCTCATACAATCCTGAAAAGTAATGCCCAAAATTGCCTACAGAGTGCAAAAATACTGTTTCATATATTGAAATGGAAAGTGTTTTTCCTGAAACAACCCTATAAACCTTATTATACGGAACTCTTTTTTTTAATACTCACCAGAGGATATTTTTTCCATTGCTTTTCAGAGAGAGTGGAAGGGAGAGAGAGAAAAAAACATAGATGCAAGAGACATGTATAGATTGGTTGCCTCCCGCACATGCCCCCGGGCTGGGGATTGAGCCTGCAACCGAGGTGTGTGCCCTTGTCTGGAATTGAACCTGGGAGCCTTCAGTCTGAGGGCTGACGCTCTAACCACTGAGTCAAACCAGCTAGGGCTATAAGGAACTCTTGATTCTGTCTGTGGCCCAGAGCAAATCCTGCCTCTTGAAGACCCAGGAGTTTCAAGGCCTCTATCTCAGATGGGTTATTTAACAGCTCTGGGGGCTTTATCAGATCAGCTGTTTGTTTAGTGTTCTCCACGTGCTGTTTACAATGAGGACAGCTTGATCTCCCCACCATCAGTACCCCCATGAAGTCCAGAATGTGTTAACCATAACCTAATTTTTCTATAACCCTCATAAGTGAACTTCCTCTTCCAAACAGACAAGATAGTGTGCCCTAGAGTCTCTTACCACCTCCACCACCTCACCAGTCCAGTCCACTGGGATCCCTGGCCTGGATTATGGCAGTGGCCTCCTAACTGGCCTCTCTCTCCCTGTAGTCCTTCAGCATATGAGCCAGGATGACACCCCCATTTAAAATATGGTAGATCATGTCCCTCAGCCTGAAACCCTGCAGTGGCTGCTATCTCCCTCAAAGCAAAAGTGGCCGGCTTGTGTTCTGGTGGCAGTCATTTTGTCCGCACCCACTACAGGACCTCGGGCCCCAGAGGCTTTCCCTTGTGTGGTAAAGGGACAGGCCCATTGTCTAAAGTGCCTCTTTCTGCCTGCAGGACTGTCCAACCCGTTCCGGGGTCTCATGAAGCTGGGCACCGTGGAGCGGCGGGGGGCGATGGGCCTCTGGAAGGAGCTCTTCTGCGAACTCTCCCCGCTGGAGTTCCGCCTCTACCTGAGCGGCGAGGAGCGCACCTGTGTGGAGAACTGCTCGCTGCTGCGCTGCGAGTCCATAGGGCCGGCCCACAGCGACGGCCGCTTCGAGCTGGTCTTCTCGGGCAAGAAGCTGACCCTGCGCGCCTCCTCCCAGGACGAGGCTGAGGACTGGCTGGACCGGGTGCGGGAGGCCCTGCAGAAGTGCCGGCCGCAGCAGGAGGAAGAGTGGGTGAACATCCAGTACCCAGAGCAGCCCGAGGACCTCCCCGAAGGTCCCCAGGGAGACCTCCCCTCCCACTCGGACCTGCTCATGGAGCCCGAATCCCTCCAGGGTGCGCAGTTAGATTGGTCCTCTGCCCAAGTTCCTGAGCCAGACGCTATTAAAGAATCCCTCTTGTACCAGTATGTGGACAGGACCTGGACGCCCTATATTTTTTCCCTGTCCTTGGAGTCCCTGAAATGCTTCCGTCTCAGAAACAATGAGAAGATGTTAAGTGACAGCCATGGAGTTGAGACCATCCGAGATATCCTGCCAGACACGAGCCTTGGCGGCCCGTCCTTCTTCAAAATTATCACGGCTAAGGCCATCCTGAAGCTGCAGGCCGGCAATGCCGAGGAGGCCGCCTTGTGGAGGGATCTGGTGCGCAAGGTCCTGACGTCCTACTTGGAAACGGCCGAGGAGGCAGTGACACTGGGCGGGAGTCTGGATGAAAACTGTCAGGAGGTGCTGAAGTTTGCCACGGGGGAGAACGGCTTCCTGCTGCAGTACCTGGTGGCCATCCCCACCGAGAAGGGCCTCGACTCCCAGGGCTGCTTCTGTGCAGGTGCCGACTTGCCCTCTCGCCACCCCAGCCTGCCAGCCTCCCTCTGCCTCCAGTGGGGTTCCTACTTTAGGCTCAGCACCCTTTTCTGGCCCTGTATGAGTGGCCCCATCCCACCATCTGGGTGTTGCAGCAAATGAAGCTGTTTGCAGCTGTTCACAGCAAATAGTGTCTGCTCCTACCAGCACCCCGTAAGGCCATTGCCTTTCCTGCCACCTCCTGCTCAGGGGTGAGACCTGTGGGTGGCAGCTCTGCTGTGTGCCTCTCTCGCTCAGGGAGTACCAGGGAGCTAAGCTCTCCACTCCTTTCGTTATCATATTACAGTATTATCACTATTTTGGAGCAGGGGCATGGTACCCTTTCAAATATCTTTGCATGTTTTTGCAAGTGCACACAATTTTTTAAATTACAAAAATGGGCTCCTACTATTCAGCACTGTCCAATACAGCTTTCTATGATGATGACAATGTCCTAGATCTGTGCTGTTTAATACAGTAGCTACAGGCCACATGTGGCGACTGGGTACGTAAAATGTGGCTAGAGTGACACTGGGAACTGAATTTTTTATTTTATTTCATTGAAACGGATATAAATTTAAAAGGGTACCCATGTCTCATGGCCACCGTGTTGGACAGAGCAGTGGTGTATATTGTTCTGCAACTTGTTTTTTTCCTAGTGAAAAATACATTATGGATATTATTCCAAGTCAGTGCATCTGCTATATCATTATCATTATCAAACCTAATTCTGTGCTGGGTACTGGCCTGATGCTTTATTTGGATTGTCTCATTTAATCCTCACAACCACCCTGTCGGGATAGGTGCTACTATTATCTCTGTTTATAGCTGAGGAAACTGAGTCACAGGGCTGGTAAGAACCTGTCCCAGGTTCACACAGCTAGTAAGTGGCAGAGCCAGTTGAGGACTGTGTTGGTCCCAAAAGCTCTGCTTTTAGCCAGGACCCATAGGCCCTCTCTACTCCCTTGTTTTCAAGGCTGCCTGATATTCTAATGCTTAATTTCCATGTTTAGCTCTTCCCTCAATCCAACCAGCCATTTCCATCACCCAGGCCCTCCCTGTGAACTACAAGGGACCTGCCTGCTGCAGAGTGACAGCAACAGATGTGGCTGCCAGTGGTTTAGGAGCTATCCTGTTGGGGTGGAGCCTGTGGGAGTGGAGGGGAAAGCCTGCTGCAGGCATCTGGGAGGAAGTGGTCTGCGGTCAGTGCCCCTGCAGGATGGGAGAAGCTAGGCAGAGCAGAGAGTCCTGCAGGAAACTTCTTCAAGCCTCACACTGCCACCCACACCCCTTACCCCCTGGGAGGCGAATCACACTTGTGGATGCAAATGAATGCTGGCAGGACAGCTCTCACTGTCCCTGCCATCCGCCAGCCTGCAGGCAAGACTGGGAACTGGGGAGCCTGGACTTCCTCTCCGCCTGTAAGCACAGCTCAGTGGCCAGGTGGACACCAATCACTGCCATTTGGCTTGTATTTCATAGTTTGTGGGGCACTTTCAAAACCTGTCTCATTTAAACTTTGTGATAACCCCACACAATAGCCAGTAGTAGCTGATTGTACAGATACTGAAAGAGAACCTGACAAAAATTCGATAAAGGTCAGGATGAGGCAACTGGGAAGCAGAGGAACCAGCCTTTCTAGTCCTGAGGCCTGGGGGACTCAGTCCCCTGGCCCTGTGGGAGGCTGGGCGTGTGCTCAGGATTTGAACCAGTCCTTTGTTTTGCCCGAGACACACAGACTCCCACTCCCTCTGCTCCCTACTTGGAGGGACCTCCAGCTGAGGGGCTGAAACAAAGCCCCACACCCCTGTCCTGAGGTATCCGGCAGCTCTGGCTTCAAGCTGGCTCCAGGTAGTGTCCAGATTGCCCCTACCTTCCTGCCCACTCCCTATGGCCAGCCCCATGTCCCCAGCTCCTTCCCTGCTCGCCAAGGCCCTGACTTAGTTGCTTCCTTGTCTGGGCCCCAGTGGAGGCGTAGACCTAGAGGAGGTTGGCATTGGTGAGCAATGGTGGGAACATTGAAGAAGGCAGCTAGGTATAAGGGAATGCAGACTCTGGAACCAACACAACCCAGCTTTGAATCCTAGCTGTGCTACTTAATCCCTGTGTGACAAGTCTAACCTCTCTGGGCATCAGTTCTTTCAGCTCTAAACTGACAATGGCAGCTCGTAGTGTTTTGTTGTGAAGATTAATTAATAGGGTTGATTCTGAGTGGTGGTGGTTCTTATCTTTCCTCTCCTTTTTTATCTTTATACTTTCCTTGAATAGCAGCCCCTTTTCACCTTGATAGCTCCCGTGTTACTCAGGAGCTGACTCGCCCCACCGCTGCTCACTCCCCCACCATTTTTCTCCCCAGGCTGCTCCCGGCAGATCGGCTTCTCATTTGTACGACCCAAGCTCTGTGCCTTCTCTGGCCTCTATTACTGTGACATCTGCCACCAAGACGATGCCTCAGTGATTCCGGCCAGGATCATCCACAACTGGGACCTCACCAAGCGCCCGGTGAGTCTCGAACTTAGTCTGTTGTGGCCACACAGGGCTGTTGAATGAGAGAAATGGTCACTCCTCTTTGCTGCTGCTAGTCATCTATTGGGAGGAGTTTGTCTTTAGGGAAGGTAGGGTCACTGGTTCAGGCCCTATGATGTGGGGGAGCTGACCAAGAAAAAAACTTGGTGCTGGTCTATAGTCCCTGTGCAGAGCTCTGTCAGTGCCTGCCTTGGTCCTCAGGTGGAAGTCTGAGGATGGTTTTCTGCAGCTCCTCATGGCTACAGACAAAACTGTTTAAGGCACCAGCAACTAGAAGGATGGATGGGTGGATGGGTGGGTGGGTAGATGGATGGTTGGATGGGTGAGTGGGTGGATATGGGTGGATGAATGGGCTGACCAGCTGGTTGCACTTCGTTGGAGAAATCAGCCTTTTCTGTTGTCACTGTAAAAACCTGACGATGTAAGAAACTAACAATTACTAGGAAGCAAGACCTCAGATCATCTGGAAAACGACAATTTTGCATTTTTATACTTTGCAATTAAAAAGGGAGCATAATGAAGATTACGTGGAGGCAAGAGAAAGCAAGGCAGGAATTGGATTACAGGATAGAGTATGTCCCCTTGTGAGGGTGGTCACACTTTAGGAGGAGAGGTCTGAAAAGAGGCCTTTCAGAGGTGTGTTGATCCGGATACACAGGAACAGTGCACAGGAACAATAGGTAGGGCTTCCTCAGGGAGAAGTAAGCCTTTTGCTAAAGAAGTTAAAGGCCTGGGGCATGACTACCACCAGGACCAGCCCAGTTGGGAATTTATGACCAGATCACCTTGTGAGATTACTTTCGGTTAGATTTAGCAACCCTTTTTTTGTCTGCACACCGTGCATCTATTTGCATACACATCTACTTTTCTGTAAAATTGAGATTATACTGGACTCATACTGCTTTATAGCATGCTCTGTTTCCTTAGAGTTACCTCTTCAGTACTTATATTCAACAAATGCTTTTGACTAAGATGTATTCTAAGATCACTCAGGTGTTCCTCCTCTAGCTGAGCTTATCCACTTTTCTGACTGTGTTACCATGAGCAAGTTATTTAGTCTCAGCTTTCTCATCCGGAAGGGGGCATTACTGACAGTGTATGTTTTGGGACTGTGTGAGGACCAAAGGAGACAGTACCCTCCCGTCACCTGGATGTGCCTTACATGAGTGCCTTCCCTCTCCTGAGGCATAGCACGCCTGCCCCTAATTCACCAGGTCAGGGACCGTGTAGTCTTGGCATGTGGATGTGTTCTTGTCAGGGCACAGACAGCGTGGTCCTCAGAGTCTGCCACCCCAGCCTCTACCCCTTGGGGACAGGAACCCCAAAGACGCTAGCTTCACTTTGGCTTTTTTGTTGATTACCTCATCCCCACCCCTACCCTCAATGCTAAGTATTTAACCAACTACCTGGAGAAAACGCTACAACACCCGATACTTCCGTTGAGCCATCTCCATATTCATTGCTGTAATTATTGTGCCACTTCCTCGTTCCAGCTGGAAAATGACAATACCCTTCTCAGCCTGCCTGAGATTGGGAAATATCCAGCTCTCTCACAAAGATCCCCAGCTTGGGAAAGACAGGGAAATTCAAACTAGAAAGTGCCTGGCTCGCAGGTTAGCGTTACTACTGCGGCTGACCCACTTGTGTGAGGCCGGCCTGGCACTTGGCAGGATGTGAGACCAGGACTAGGGCTGCTTTCTTTGTCTGTCTCCTCCACGCCCATGGGATAGAAACAGTCCCTGGGGAGCACAAAGCCCCTGCGGCGCTTGGCAGTTTTCAGCACACATTCCTTGTGTTATTTCATCTGAGCTTCAGCCAAGGCCTGAGGCTGAGTCGTGGTCAGGTATGGGCCAGGGCTGGGAACAGCAGCTTGATCCAACTCACCAGGCCTTTCACACTGGGCTGTCCATTGGCTAGGGGCTGGTACCTCTGGGAAATGGGAAAGAAGTTGTCCATTGCTGGGGGAGGAGAGATATGCCAGTGGAGCTGGGAGACCGGAGGCCAGAGGCTTCCCCAGCCCCCCCCAGAGTAAGTCTCCCAAGGTCCCTGTTATATCCCTGTCCCTCCAGGGGTTAGCTGGTCCACAACAGATGCTGAGTCTGATGGTAGCCCCCTTTACTGAGGATATGCTATGTGCCAGGACCTCACGTGGATTTTTTTTTTTTTTTTTAAATATGTGGTGGGTTTTTTTCAGAGAGAGGAAGGGAGAGAGAGAAACATCGATGAGAGAAACATTGATCAGCTGCCTCCTGCATGAGTCCACAACCCAGGCATGTGCCCTGACCGGGAATGGAATCGTCACCTCCTGGTTCATGGGTCAATGCTCAACCACTGAGCCATGCCAGCCAGGCAGATTAGTTTTTAGTCTAAACTCAAAATAATCCCAGGAGACAAGTGACTTTATTTTTTCCATTTTACACATGAGGAAACTGAGTCACAGAGAGGTTAAGGAAATTTACAAGGTCACACATCTAGGAAGTAGTAGAGCCAGGATTCAAATCCATTCTAACTTGAAAGCCAGACTCCTAACCTCTGCACAGTAGTTGACAGTGGAGACCATCTCATCTCTTCCACTCTTCTTGCCACAGCGAGGGGACAACTGCAGGGGAGGGAAGCCTCTGTTAGTTACTATGACAGCCTGGTGTGCACAGATGACACCTCAGTTTAGACCTGGTCTCCACTTTCTATAAGTGGGTTGTATAAGCCACTTTAGCTTCTCAGAGCCTCAGTTTCCTCATCAGTAAAGTGAGGATGATGACACCTTCCCCTCTTGGGTTGTTAGGAGAATGAAGACAGGATGTGGTCAAGATCCTCAGCCCAGTGTCTAGCAAATAGTAGGTGCTCAGTAATTGGCTTTGGCATTAGGGTTGGGCCTGAGGGTAGAACCTTCAACACCTTATCAGGTGGGAGAGGCTGAGATTGGTCACTGAACTCTGCATGGAGACTTGGGGGAGCCCTGGGTGGTGCTACTGGCAAGAGCTGAGGGAACTGGGGAAACCTCTTATGAAGCTGTGTCTGATCTGTGGCTTCCTGTGGTTAGAGCCTGACTCAGACTAGTCACCTGGTTCCTGAGTCAGCCCAGGAGGCCATGCCTGTTTCCTTTAGACAGGAAAATGGAGACTGGGAGGAGAGGAAGTAGTGAGAAGGGTCTGTGAGGCCTGGGCAGACAGGGGCCCCTCTCCATCCCAGCATGGTCTAGGAGGGGCAGCCGCTGGTGTTATGGAGGGAGAGAAGGTTTGGGGGTTAGATAAACTGGGTTCAAATCATGGCATTTATGAGCTGTGGACCCAGGCCAAGTCACTTCCTCTCTCTGAACCTCAGTTTCTTCATCTGTAAAATGAAGATGGCCACACTTCTCTTGCAGGGTGGGGGCAGGGTAAGTGAGTGAGTGCATAAGACAGTGCCTGACCCAGAGGCACTCACTGAATGGCCTTTGTTTCACCCCCACTGCCTGCTGGTGTCCCCAGGTGTGCCGGCAAGCGCTGAAGTTCCTGACGAAGATCCGGGCCCATCCCCTCATCAACCTGCAGCTGGTGAACCCATCGCTGTACGAACACGAGGAGCAGATGCATCTCATCGGGAGGAGCCGGGAGCAGCTTAAGCTTCTAGGGGATTACCTGGGCCTGTGCCGAAGTGGGGCCCTGAAGGAACTAAGCAAAAGGTGAGCACCCTGGACACATACACACAGACACGCTCAGGTGTCCTCTTGGGAGAAATGCCAGGGCTGGGAGGAGATCTCCTGCCCATTGGGCTTGGGAAATTACCACGTGCTTTAGGAATGGCTTTTATTTGTTCATGTATTCATACTCATTTATTCATTCATTTAACAAATACTTTTTGGGAGCATACTAAGTGCCCAGCACTGGGCTAGGTGTATGGGATACAGCGCAGAACAAGGCAGGCCTGGGTTCCACCCTCTTGAAGGAAAGGCAGGTGAAGCAGCTACAGCTGGGGCTGAGGGCAGGGGGTGCATCTACCTGAATTGGAGGAGGGAGGGGAGAGGGAAGACTTCCTGTACATACTGACATCCAGGGTGAGACCTGAAGAATGGGTAGGAGTTACGAAAGGGAGGAGAAGTGGGAAAGAGTATTCGAGACAGAAGGAACAATGTGCATGGGCAGTGAAGGCCCCACTCTTGGAAAGAACAGGGAGAACTTTGGAGGGAGCAAGGAGAGAAGTGGGGCTTGTAGTGAGAGGAAGGCTGGAGAAGCGAGTGAGGGCCGCCCCACAAAGTTGGTTGCCCTGGCTTCTCCCTTCCTCGGGCCGGTCCTGCATCCCATGGCCGCTTTGCTGCTGTCCGTGGCAGCATCCCTCCCGCAGTCCTCGGAAGAGGGCGAGATTGGGGCTGGACCCTCAGGATGCCCTTCAAGAAGCGTCTTGGTACCCAGGGGGCCTGCTCAGGAGTGGAAGGTGATGCTGAGCTTCATTCAGCATGGACTTAGCCCGTAGGTCACAGCCCAGGCTGTGGCCTCCTGCAGGATTGTGCCATCCTCAGACCCTCAGGAAGGCAGGCCTCAGGTGGAAAAACTGGTGCCTACTGCCCAGGTGACCTTCATCGCTGTGTTTCTGGAGACTTGAAGCAGCTCACAAGCCCCTCCACATTCCCACTCCAGCCACTCCTCCCCACAGGACTGGCACAGAGACCCCCTGTCTGATGGGCTGGGCCTCCTCAGTCCTTTCTCCCAGAGCCACTACTACACGGCTCCTCAGGGCCAGGGCAGTATCCAGTGCAGGTCCCCTGGGCCCCTCAAGGAGAGGGCTGCTGCAGAGAGCTCTCTCTTAGGCAGAGGTCTCCACGGGGTCTGGAAGAACAGATAGCCCTCTCGGGGCCACCACGAGGGACCCTTGGAGGCTGTTTCCCTGCGAGGCTCTGAACACCTCAGTCATCAACTGGGTGCCTGGGTCTTGACTCACTCCCATCCTTTCTGAGAATCTAGGACCCAGGGCTCCAGAGTGCCTCCCTGTCCCCCAGTCCCAATAACCAGGGTGGTGAAATCTCTAGGGTCGGATGGGACCTCATCACCTAACCCAGGTGTCAAGGAGTCTCTGCAGACCTGGGTAGACCAGCCGTCTGAAGGATGGGTCCTTGGGTGTGGGTCTCGCTCACCTTTCCCTGCCCTGCTGAGATGACATGTCTAGACTAACCTGGGCTGGGTCGTAGGGGCAGTCCTGCCTCTTTCTCCCTGGCCCTGCTGTCCTCTGGCAGCCCTGCATACCTACTGTATGCCCAGCTTTCAAGAGAGCAGGGCCTCAGCTGTGGAAGTCCCATTTTAGAAGCAGCACGAGCAGGAAAAAGCATGAGAGGAGCCTCTGCCTGGGCTCAGACCCACTGTGTGACTCAGGGAAGTTGCTTCAGTTCTCCGAGCCTCAGTTTTCTTGTCTATAAAATGGGCAAGTCGCCCTTGTATTCACATGGCTTCCCGAGTTGTGGTGAAGGCTACATGAGAGGCTCAGAGTCTGGGAAGGGACACATACAGGCAGACAGATGGCCCTGGTTCAGCACTGCATGTGCCATGAGAGAGGGCACCTGGCCCAGCCTCCGCAGGGCTCAGAGGGCCAGGGGAGCTCCCTGAGGAGATAAATCTGAGCTCGGGGTTTGTGGAGTTTTTCCTTTTCATTAAGGAAAAAAAAGTTTTTCTCCTTTGCAAAGATAATATTCAAACAATGTGAAAGAGAATCTGGCAGAAAATTGGTAAGTCCTGCAGTCACACCACTGTGGGTCTATTAGAGCATGCTCCAGACCTCACTCTGTCCCTACAGGAAGACAGCATGGCCACAGCACACATGGCATCTCATGTATAGTGAGCTGGGGCTCCGAAGAACTAAGGAGAAGAAAGGGAAGGAAGGGCCCAGCTTTCCTGGCTAAGGGGACCTGTGGCATGGAGAGGGACGGGAGTGTGGCTCACCAGGACCCACGGGGCTTAGTGCAGCTGGATTGTGGGTGCAGGAGCCAGACCTGGAAGGTCCTGTGAGCCACACCAAGGATGTTTGGGTTTTATTCTGCCAGTAGTGGGGAGTCACTGAAGGGCTTTGAACAAAGGACTATCTCATTCTGACCAGGAGTTTAGAAAAGACTCAGTTTGGCAGCAGCAGAAGTAATTCGCTTGGGAGGTGAGGCGGCCTGGACTGGGTGGAGGGTGAGAGGACGAGAAGGGTTGAGAAGGAATAGGCAGGTCTTGGATGTGAGATCCCCTTTGTCACAGAGGACCCAGCCAGGGCACTGCCACCAGCGAAGGGGAACTCCTCCCTGACTTCACCTCTCTGAGTGTAACAGGCCCAGGGGATGGTGGCTTTTAGGGAAGGCCCTGGACCTGGCTGATCCCCGGGGCTTCCATGACTGTGAGCAGAGGGCAGATGATAGAAGTGACTCTTCATCACTTCAAATCAGCCCCACCCTTCTTGCCAACTCAGGAACAGCCTGCGCAGCCCCCGCCCCCTGCGTTTTCCTGCTGATGAATGGTGGCTTCCTGTTCCAAGAAAGCTGGGATTTTCCTAGGGAGACCAGCAAAGTGAGCTGAGCATCCTGCCTGGCTGCTTGGCGGGACTTGCCATCTCCACCCTGGATTGGGTTCCCCCTGGACCATAATTAAGGCTGTGGAGTGAACCCAGGCCAAGCCCCCATTCCAGACACCCCAGGGCCTGGCCCCACTCTGCCCCCAGATGTTCGGCGCATCCTGGGGCAGGTTTCCAGGCTTCCTCAGACTTGGAGCATTCTCCCTAGAACCCCAGCACCACGCATACACAGCAAGGCCAATCAGGCTTTTGTACCAAGGGACTGTCTGCAGGTGTTTCCTCTCCATCCCTCAGGATGTGACCCCTGGGATCTCTGCCGTTAGCTGGGTAGAAACTAGAGCCTGGTTGGTGGTTGAGCCTCATCCTGTCTCCCCGCCTCCCCACCCCTCCTCTGAAATGGGATCTGCCCTGGTGCTTAGGACAGGTCTCAGTTCCTCTCACATAGCACCGAAACCAGGTGCTTGAATGTCTGTCCCTCAGCTCGACCCGGAGCTGCGGGAGGGCAGGAGCCACGTCCTATGCATTTCTGTCCCCAGCACTGTCCCTGATATGTGGTGGTGTCAATAATTACAACAGCTAACACCTATAGGCATTCACTGGGGTGGAAAGGATGCAGACTCTGGAACCAAACTCCTGCATTCAGACTTCAGCTCTGCCACTTATTAACTGTGTGACCACAAGCAAGTTATTTAACCTCTCTGTGCCTCCATTTCCTTTCCTCCTCAAAGTGAGTATTATAATAGTGCCAACTGTTATAGTAGTCAGAGGACTACTGTGAGGATTAAATGAGTTTCTATATACATGTATGTATGTATATGCGCTCAGCCCAGTTCCTGGTACCAACTATTAGCTTTCATCAGCCTCTTCCTCATTACTAGTTTTTATAGACATTATTTTATTTTTTAAACCTTTAAATTAAAAAACATTTTTAGCCTTATTGAGGTATAATTGACAAAGTTGTAAGATATTTAAAGTGTTCAGCGTGAAGATTAGCTATATGTACACTTTGGGAAAGGATTCCTCCCATCTGGTTAATTAACACATTCATCACCTTACTTACTTCCTTATTCATAAGTTGTTTTGGTGAGAACATTTAAGTTCTACTTTCAGCAAATTTCTATTATGCAATACAAGTTTATCAACTACAGTAGGTAACTATTCATTGTTTACTATGTGCAAGGCACTGTGCCAAAAGCTTTAAATAAATTATTTAATCCTCAAAACAGCTCCATTTCTCAGGTGAGGAAACCTGAGGCTCAGGGAGGTTAAGTAACCTCCCTGCAGCTAGTGAGTCACCTGGAAGCCCAGGTTCCAGCCCAGGTTGGCTGACTGCACTCTTCGTCACCACCGCACCCAGATGAGAGGTGTTTGTGCCTGGTTAGCTCTGCTGAAGGAATGAAAACAAACACAGGTTGGCCCAGGCTTGGAAACCCTTCTAAGGAACCTCTTGTGTTTTCTCTGAAGGCTCAACCACAGGAATTATCTCTTGGAGTCTCCCCATAAGTACAGTGTCGCTGACCTCCAGCAGGTGAGAAAGTTATCCCCCCAGATCTCTCTAGAGGGACCCCATTCCTGGAAAAATCAGAAAAGGAAGGTAGGGGTGGTGTTTCCTGAGTTCACCAGCTTTTCAGAACCTCGGAATGGGTGTCCCGCCATCCCTTGCCTCCTGGGGCAGTGGGTGGGCCCCCAGCCCCCCTGGAATAAGCAGGTACTACAGCAAAGCCCAGGATCACAGGGGTGGGAGGTTGAGACATTCCTTCCTCAAGGGAGCAAACAGTGGATTTATGTCTCGTCTATCAATCCCGTTATCCTCAGCATGCACAAGGGCTGGATGCCTGTATTGCTCCCCCTGATTTGGGGAGGATTTCATGCCCAAGTGGAAAGACACTTCTATTGGAGTTCTCCAGGCAGGGTGCTGTGAGCAGGCCACGTTTTGCAGATGGCTTAGCCTCAGCACAACTCCCTGAAAGGCCTGGTGGCCTGTATCTGCCCCTACAGATCTCGGAGGGCGTGTACGAAGGATTCCTCAAGGCCTTGATCGAATTTGCCTCCCAGCATGTCTACCACTGTGACCTGTGTACCCAGCGCGGTTTCATCTGCCAGATCTGCCACCACCATGACATCATTTTCCCCTTTGAGTTTGACACCACCGTCAGGTATGCTGGGCACCTAGCCAGCTGCTCCTCCCTCAACCTTACCCACAGCTGGCCCCAGCCTTCCAGGGTGGCAGGCCCTGCACCGTTTTGGGGTAACACACTTAACATCCCCTCTGTGCCAGTGCTAGGGGGTGGTGAGGTTGTCCAGAGCAGCTGACGCACTGGGCAGTCATGGCCAGCCCCAGTCCAGCTCAGGGGACAACACAAGCCCTCATAGGACGCTGTTGGCTCTCTGAGTGGTGGCCTTTCTGGGCCTCAGTTTTGTCATCTATGAATGGGTTGAGGAGGGCCTGAATGAGTTACTGCCCTGGAGTATTGGACACAAAGTGGGCCCCTTGTGGGTGATACCTGCCACTGCCTCTGCTCCTGTCATAATCCTTCTTATCCCCAGTTATTGTTCATTATCAGAAGCCTCTAAATGGACAAATTCATCCACCAAACCTTCATTCCAACCCATGTGGGAGTGGAAGTCTGAACTGGTGGGAGCATTCATTCATTTCCAGTAGGTGTTCCCTGGCCCAGATTCAGCCCCTGAACAGACCTAGGGCTGAGTTTTTCAAACTATGGAGTGTCTTAAACATCGGCAAAAGTCATTTAGTGAGTCTCAGCATATTTGTAAAAAATGAAATAGATGGTACATCGTGCATCGCATGACCTTGGGTAAGCATTGCAGCGAGAATCTTTTGTCGCTGGATGAAGTAGCGCCTGCAGGCCTGGGGTTGTGGCTAGAACACAGTCTGACTGTGGGCTCTGGTCGGAAACACTGGGCAGCCTCAGGCCCCAGGGGAGGCCGTCAGCCCATTGGCACAAACAGCACTTGCCACTTTCTTCCAGGTGTGGCCAGTGCAAGACCGTCTTCCACCAAGGCTGCCAGTCCGTGGTGAAGGGCTGCCCCCGCTGTGCCCGCCGGCGCAAGTACCAAGAACAGAACACTCTCACCTAACCCAGTCTCCTGTCCCCACCTCAGAGGCCATCAGCCCAGGCTACTCTCTCAAGGTGTCACAGCTGTCTCCCTTGTCAGGAAGACTCAGATGTGACCAGAGCATGAGCCTACCAGAGGGAGCCTTTGATGATGCCCTGCACTGGCTCCAAGAGGTGGGGACACCAGCAGCTGCCCCCTGTCTGAGGTGCTGGTGGGGGCCGGGCTTTGCACTAATCAGGCTTCAGCTCACCTCACTGACAGGGCACCTCTGTCAGGGCTGTTCACACACTGTGGAAATAAGACTTGGGGCACATTTTCAAATCCACATTCCTGATTAAAAGGTCTAGTTTTTTAAGGTGGATTTTTTCCCCTTCATATTTCAACAGAAAATATTTTTTTATTCTTAACCCTACACAAGTCACCCAGGAAATCTAGGCATTCTCACCATGAGCAAATGTGCAGGTACTGCCCAGTCCTGGTCTGCAGACAGGTGGGCGACTGGGCAGGCAGAGACCCTCAGCTGCCTTTCCTTCACCTCCCCAGATGCTTGCTGCCAACAGCTCAAGTGCAACGTGCCAAACCGCCCATGGGGCAAGGCGGGGTCAGTCCTGCCTTCTCCCTTTCTACTCCCTGCCCCTCTCCTTCCCACCTGAAAAGCCCATCATCTTTCTCTGTGTCAGAGCCCCCGGCTCTTCTGTAGCCTGGCTTTCGGTCCCTGCAGGAGAAGGGGAATGACCCAGAACCAGCACTGTCAGCACTTTGCATCTTCCTTGGTCCAGGGAAGAGTCATCATTTTGCCCACCCCTCAGCCCCATGCCCTCCTCACTCCTACCCTGCACAGAGCAGGGGGCTGCCCTAGACACACTCTAGGGCCCTGCCTGCCTGACCCCTGCTGGGACAGAGGTAAGCTGGATCCATAAAGAGGGCAGTGAGCCCAGGCTGGGGGCCGGCCTCGGCACACACTGTGGAACAACGGCCCCATCCTTCCACGAGGAGTGCCAGCCCTGCCGCTGAGATGTGCAGGGACCTGCGGGAGAAGGTCCGTAGAAGGGTGCTTCACCTCAGTTTACAAAGCCATGAATTCATACAGCTTTGCTGGACTGGCCCAGGAGGGGCGCTGCTAGAGACGAAAATGTCATTGGAGCACCATTGCCATTTGAAGGGGTGTTGGAGTGGAGTGGGAGCCTGGAATTGATTTCAAATGATATTTAGACCCTTGGGGCTTGGGGGAATCTGGGTGTATATTCTCTGCTGCCTTCCCCCACCTCTCCTGAACCCAGCAGGTCTCCCTCAGCCCTGGGGTGCCCTAGTCATCTGTGCACTCAGTTTGAGATTGGGGTCCTCAGGCGAAGATGAACCTACTCCCACCTCTCTCAGGTGATTCGTCTGCTGAGTTACCTGCCTAGCCCTGTGGAGCTGGATAAACTGTGCAATAGGACAGAGGACGTGCTGGGCAGGTTGGGGAGGGGGCCGCCACAGCCTCTCTGTCCCCTCTCGAAAGATGGCCCACACCTGTGCCCAGCACACCAAAGCCTCCAGAACCGGAGAGTTGATCCTTATCATCCCACCCCTCACAGCTGCATTAATGCTTCACTGCAAGCACCCCCTCATCAGAGCTCAGAGTGCCCCAGATCCATGAGTGGGCAGGAGCCCAGCCTGGGGGGAGCAGTGCCGTCTGAGCCTGGCCCTGTTTCCTCCAGCCTGTGAGTATATTCTGTATTCCAGAAGGGGCCCTAGGAGGCAGCAGGAGTGAGGCCCTAGAGGTGCTCCCTTCAGTCCACCCCATCGCTGCCCTCCCAGAGATGAGTAGCATTAAAGCTCACCCTCTCCCCGTTACCAAAAGCTGCTGATGCTTTCAGATGAGCTTTTACTCCTCACCTCCAATGGAAGGCTGGTGTGAACCTCAGTAGTGGCCACACTTTTTTAAAGTGTCATTTTATGCAATAAACTTTGCATTGTGGGGTCCTGGCCCTGAGAAGTGCTTTGCAGTGTACTGAATGAATTGCTGCTGTGTGATATTTGAATGATTTTGCAGTAAAGACCTGATATTTCTAATCTCTGCTTTGGTTTCTGAATCCTAATGCTGCGGCTGAAGGGGGGAGATCACAGGCCATCCGATACCAGTCTGACAGGACCTCCACTCTCCTGTTGGTCCCTAGGCACAGGAGAGAACAGGGTGGGGTGAGTGGTAAACATTCGCAAGCAGAGAGCTTGTGTGCCAGCAGTGGGCATGGAGGAGAGGGGCAGTAACAGGTTCAATATAGACCACCTTTGCTACTCTGAGGGGGCAGGGCCCCTGTGGGGTCACATTTCAGGGCCTTTGGGATGTTTATTCACACTCATATGTAACAACTGAAGCTGATGCCTGAAATTCCATCACCATGGCTTCTTTCCTGCGCCTTAAGTGTCAAAGCACAGACCCTGACACTGGAACATGTGAAACCACAGCTAGTTTCCCACTGGATTGAGAGAAGGGGCTCAGGAATGACAGGCTGTTGGACTCATGGTTTGAGGGCTCACAGTGGCTTTTATTTGGATGCAGACCTTCCTCTGAAGGTCCAGGAGAAACCCAAGGGGGCCCTGCGCCTTAAGTGTCAAAGCACAGACCCTGACACTGGAACATGTGAAACCACAGCTAGTTTCCCACTGGATTGAGAGAAGGGGCTCAGGAACGACAGGCTGTTGGGCTCATGGTTTGAGGGCTCACAGTGGCTTTTATTTGGATGCAGACCTTCCTCTGAAGGTCCAGGAGAAACCCAAGGGGGCCCTGCAGGGGGAAGCCCACCACTGCCCCCTGTAAGGACAGAAGAAGGAAACTAATTTTTAGGGAAATCAGGATGCAGGAAAATGGGACTGCAAAAGATGACATTTAGGTCTGCAGTTCCCCATTCTTTCAGCTCAGAGGGGAGCACCCTCTGCCCATCCCAGGAACCCAGCTTCTTTCAAGGGCCTCACTTTCCTCCAGGAGCAGTAGGTGGTGGGCTCCAGGAAGACAAGAGGAAGTTGGCATGAGGGCTGGAGGGAGTCAGGCCCACCAGAGGACCAGGGGCAAGTGACCTGCCCTGCCTTTGGACTCTGCCTTCATCTTAGGCAAAGTGCCTCTGAGGACACTTGTTCCCTCCCCCCACACACACCCCCAAAGGAGGATGGGAGGTTGGAGACCTCATTGCAACCCCAGAGGATGGTTCATGTCATCATAGCTAATATACTGTGTGTTCTTATAATAACGGCAACATATTGTTCTTAGAGCATCTCATTTAACCTTCCCAACAATCCTGTGAAGTAGGTGTTACTGTCCCCAGTTTACAGGAAACCGATGCAGAGATAAGGTGAGGATCTTGAGCCCAGCCCCAGGAAGTTGCTCTGATCTTACCCTAGAGACAGACTGGAGGGTGGCTCTCCATCAAGGAGGCCGTGGAAACCAAGCAGTTGGAAGGCAAATCTGGCCAGAAGTTGAAGAGGCCCCTTCGCCCCTCATCCTACTTTCCTGGTCCTGCTGCCTCCACCCACCGGGAGACAGCCAGGTGTGGCCCAGGGTCCGCGGGAGGTGCAGGGGGAGGGGTGGCGCCTCTGCTCCTGGGGTGCTTGGCCCGGCCCAGAGGGGACAGGAAGCCAGGACACCGGGGATTGTCTCTCGAAGCCGCAGCCCAGCCCCAGCCCGGGAGGAAGTTCTGCCTGGTGCGCTCTGCTGGTGCCTCCCTCGCTATATTGTTAACAGGAAGCCCGGCAGCGCGGGAGCTGGGCGGTGGAGCAGGGAGCGCCGGACGCCGAGCCCACGCGCCCCCCGGGACAAGTGGAGGCCCGGCTAGCGAGTGGACACTCGAGGTGCCAAAGTCGGGCCAAACTGGGCGGGGGGTTCGGAGCTGGAGGCGGGGGTGGGGCGCCGCAGGTGCGGGTTCTCACCCGGGAGCTCCGGGCGCCCGCTGCTCTTCCTGCGGCGCAGGGACTGGAGCGGCGCGGTCCCGGGAGGATGCCGCGCGGGACGGTCCCCTCGCTCCGGAGGACGGGGCGGAGAGGGGCGGCCCTAAGGCCCGGGCAGAGGAGGGGCGCAGGGCCAGGGTCCCAGCGCCGACACGGGCGGTGGCGCCGCTGTGACTCGCGTCGCCGGGGCAGTGGAGGCGGGGCACCTCCTGGCGACAGGTCCGTCCTCGCGCTCCAGAGATCCTCCCGGCTCCCCGCATTCCTCCCTTTCTCTAGTTCCCCCAAGGCTGGGGACGGAGCCGAGGCCCCGGCCCCACCCCCACCGCATCCCAAGACCCTGCGCTCCGGCGGGCGTCCCTGGCGGGAGCCCCGCTCGGAGTTTTTCCAGGCCCGGCCGAGCTGCGCCGGGAAAGGGTCTGGGGAGGGCGGAGGGGGCCCGGAGAGGGTAGTGCCCGCAGTCCCGCTGGAAAGGTCGTAGCCGGTGATTCAGAGTGCGAGTGGCCTCGCTCGGCCTGGGAACACCCCGGGCAAGGCAACGAGCCAGGGTCCCGCAGTCCCTGCGACGCGGACGCTCGCGGACAACAGATCCCGCGGGTCTGGGAGGGTGGGGGCGGCGCAGGGGCGGGACTGTACCTTCCAGAGGCGCTGCTGGGGACCCGCCAGCGCCCCTTCAGTCGCTGCCCTTCCTTCCCCTGTCCCTCCCTCATGTTTTCTCTTGGGCCCGGACCAGCTTCCAATGTCCTCACCGGTCCATTCAGGCGCCCTCTCGCCCCTCCCAGACGAAGCTCTTTGGGGACTGGGGACAGCCCTCCAGAGCGTCCCTCTGCCTCTTTCCTCCCCTTGCCAGCTCCTGCCACCTGAAATCTCTCCAGCCTAGCCCTTGAATCCGCGCCCAGCGAGATGACAGGCGCCTGACCTGCATCCATCCGCCTGCTCAGCCCATCCGGCCCATGGGCTCCCGAAGACCCGTCCTGCCAACGTGAGTGAGCGGGGCCCGGGGAAGGTGCAGAGAAGGGGTGTCCTCCCTGGGGTTTGTTGGCTTAGTCCTGGGCAGCTCACTGACCCCGCCTCCAAGGCCCAGTGTGGTGGTGACTCAGTTTACAGCCCTTTCCCCATCAAGGAAAGCTTGACAAAGTAAAGAAGGAGCGTTATGCGCCCCCCCGCGGGACCCTGTTCCTTGGGTCCCTCGGCCTCAGCTGGCAGCCGAGCTCCCAGCTGCGGGACCCCCCACCTTTGTGGGGCAGGGCGTGCGGTCAGTGTAAAAAGACTTGGAGGGACCAGCCACTTCCGGAGGAGGCCAGCGACTCACCGCTTTGATGGAGGGACACAGTCAGATTCAGAGTCAGGCTCTGCAGCGAGGCGGAGCCAGCATGGATTGGGTGGGGGCTGTGGGGATCACTCCGGGAGAGCTTTGGGGACCCCTGGAGACAAGGTGCGAGTAGTCACTGGCACAAAGTGCGTTCTCTAGGGGCCACTCTCATGGGGCAATGGAGAGATCTCAGGGCAGACAGACAGGCAGCCAGGGCCAAGCCTTTCTCCGGAGGTGGAGGTGGGAGCTGGAGAGCACGGGCGGTGCGGGCCGGTCTGGGCGGGCCAGGCTCCCGGTTCACGTCTGCGGCGAAGCCTGGGGAAGGAAAGGAAAACCGAGAGAACCGGTTCCCCCGCCTTGGCAGTCTGGCCCCTTATGCCGAGGTTCTTGAAGTGAGCGCAGGAGACACTCGGCGGGGTGAGCGGCCCGGGCGGGGGCGGCCCGGCAG